ACTATGGTCAATATAATGATAATTAGTAGCCCATTAGAATTTTCTGAATAAATGACAAAATTAAAAATTTACATATTTCTTCTTGTTTTATGACTCCAACATCATCATAAGCAAGAATGAATGATTGAATATAAGTATTTTCTTCTTCAGATGATTTAATTAAATACAAATTAAAAAAGTTTAAGGTTAATAGAATTTCATACCTATTCAATGCACTTAAATTACTAACGACATGAGTTGATTTCAAATGAAAAAAAATTTCCGTAATAATTCTAATAGAAATCCTCACAATTTATATTTTATTTATAGTTTAGAAGATATAGCAAAAAAAAGAAAATAAAGACTCCCAAATTTTGTGTTTTACCTGTATGGTGGAGAATTCTTCAATCTGTGATGAAGTCCTAGAAGTAGTTCATTCCTAAAGAAATCAAAATTATATTTTTATTATGTGGATACAACTAAATACATATACATAAAAAAGAAGAAGGATGAATCAATTGAAAATACATTTTAAATTCATTTTGTAATAACACAAATATAAAACAGAGAACAAATATATGATCTTCAATAAAAAAAATTGGTATTAAAATAATCATTCTTCTTCTTCTTAACTTTTTTTTCTTTCTGTAAATTGAAGACTTTTAAATTTTTATAGAGAATCAATAATGGACAATGATACGGAAATAGAGAATCAAAGAGAGTAAAATCAATTATTGAGAGATCGGCTAAAAAAGATCAAAAGCTATATTATATAGCTTTAAACGTGGGTGGCAGTTTTAAGACATTTGAATTGACAGTTTTGGTTTTTAAATTTTTTGACAGTTTTTTTTTTAAAATTTTTAAAAAATAAACTACACAACAGGTACCCCATTACCCACTTATACTCACAAATATATGGGATAAAAATAAATACTCTAATTCTAATTAGAATAAATATAAGAGTCCAATAAAATTTAAACATTAGCCATCTAATCAATTATTTCTAAAAGAATAAAAAGAATAAAGAAGAGTTATTTTATTTATGTTAACTTTTTAATTTTAAAAATAATCCGTTCAAAATATATTGATTTTTCAAAATTCTAAAACTTAAATTTAAAATTACTAACCAATGAAGATTTAAATTATTTTAAAATTTTTATTTTTATTTTTAAAACTAAATGGAGAATTTTTGTGGTGCTGACATGTGGCACTTTTTACTTGTCCTATTATATATAGAAGATAGAAGATATAAATTTTATATATTTTTTTAAATGGTTATATCATGATAAATTTAAGTAATCTTTAATAAAAATTAATTTTTAAAATTTAAGTTAAGAATTTAATATGATTACAAATTACAAATAATTAATTTTAATAAGGAAATTATTTTTCTATTGCAATAAGATTTTACGAACTATATTTTGTGACTTTTGTCTTATAAACCATAAGTTATAAATCTATCCAAACATGCTCTAATAAAAACAAATAGAATTATCAAAGATATCCCATCTATAAGACATATAATAGTTTTATCGAACTTTATAGGCAAACATATATAACATATGTTTAAACATCATACTCTTCACAACAATACTACTTAAAAAATATGTAACTCTTTTAATTTTATTTTTTTTATAATTTTTAAATATTTTCTTACTTCCTTATTAGAAAGTATCAAAAATAAAATCAACACACTAAATTATTCGACTAATTAAAACTTAAGCATCAAACCAACAAACTCGAATTATACTACTAAAATAGTATAGAATCTTAGATAACTTCAACAAAATATTGAGATCATTTCATGATTGTTTATATAATCAAACAAAAACATATGCTAAAATTTTGTATTAAATTTATGATCATGACTAATTTATCTTGCGCTAAGATTAAAAATCTATATTTAAAAAAGAGATATGAATTAATACAGTGAACAAACTTGTTAAATTCTAAAATAAAAAATTATAAATACTTACCTCTAGTGTTGATTTTATACTCCAAGAATCTTCCAAATATTAACCTGTCACATTTTGAAGTGACACACAAACGTACTAAAAAAAATATATCAAAAATTTAACATTTAGATTGAAATTTTTTAACAAAAATGAAGAACAATGAATATACATATAAATAAGACAAAGATAAAAGAAGAACAAAAACTGATACAAAGAAAGTTGAAAGAATGGTTTGCCAACATTACAGTATTAGTATATATATAAAAAATAGTTTCAATTTTGTAACCGTTTTTTTAAACTCATTTATTAGAAAGATTTGCAAACCGTGTGTTTGAATTCTTTTGAAATTTAAAATTTATTTTTAAAACTTTTTTTAAGAATTTAAACCGTTTATGTACTTTTTAGAAATCTGCTAAACAAATTCAGTTTTATTTTTCAATACTACTTTTTTTTAAAAAAAAAAAAAAAAAACCAGATTTAAAAGTTTTTTAAAAAACCGCTTTATATGATATTAAAAATAAAATATTTTTTTCTTGGTGATGACATTTGTCAGCATTTTTATATAAAAATAGATGACATTTTATCAGTGTTTTGTATAAATGCATTTAAAAAAAAGAAGGCATAAATTAGTTTTTTTTTTTTAAAATATTAAATCTGTCCTAGATAGAATTTTTTTAAAAATTGAATTTTGAATTTTTTAACTGATTTGAAGTGGAGTTTTATAACCAATTGATCTTTATTTGATATGTGTGTTTTTATTTCAAATTTTAAATTTAGAATATTTAATTAGTTATATAATATTTAATTATTTATTATTTAAAATCCTAAATTTTGTGGTGCTGACATGTGTCCTTTTTTCTTCTCCTATTATATTTAGATAGATATATATATATATATATAGATATTATTATTATTATTATTATTATTATTTATTATTATTTATTATTATCTACATTTGTTTGGCTAAAAAACCTGTCGTTTTTCTTTAAAAAAAAACTAACAATTTTAATTGGCTAAAAAAACTGTAACTTTTCTTTTAAAAAAGCAACTTTTTTCTTTTATTAAAATATTAAATTAATTCTATTTAATTAGTTGATTATTTAAAAGTGAAAATTAGAGATTAATTGTGGTGCTGACACGTAGGCGCTATCGCCTCTCCTATTATATATATATAGATGATCTTTATTTGATATGTGTGTTTTTATTTCAAATTTTAAATTTAGAATATTTAATTAGTTATATAATATTTAATTATTTATTATTTAAAATCCTAAATTTTGTGGTGCTGACATGTGTCCTTTTTTCTTCTCCTATTATATATAGATAGAAGATATATATATATAGATATTATTATTATTATTATTATTATTATTATTATTATTATTTATTATTATCTACATTTGTTTGGCTAAAAAAACCTGTCGTTTTTCTTTTAAAAAAAACTAACAATTTTAATTGGCTAAAAAAACTGTAACTTTTCTTTTAAAAAAGCAACTTTTTTCTTTTATTAAAATATTAAATTAATTCTATTTAATTAGTTGATTATTTAAAAGTGAAAATTAGAGATTAATTGTGGTGCTGACACGTAGGCGCTATCACCTCTCCTATTATATATATATAGATTATATATATATAGATTGTTATTTGTTATTGAACTTTATTACTCGTTACACACATATTTTTATAGAATTATAATCATTCTAAAGAATTTTAAAAATACATGTATATAGTACACACGTGCAAAGCACGTACCAGAAATTAGTAAATATTATAAGAAACTGACAATGAAATCGAGTGTCAATTCTCATTTTATTGAATTAACTGAATAACGTGCTAGTGGGCATTTATTTTGAATTAGACAATTCTCAAGTTGTTTTTTTGAATCTCAATTGGGAAGTAAAATTTTTAACTTCAATTCTTAAATTTCTTGTTCTTTATAATAAATGATTCCATAATTTTAATTACTTCCTCCGTCCAACAATACTGTCCACTATACTAAAAATAGATGTCCAACAATATTTGTCCACTTTATGAAATCCATGGATAATTTTACATTAGTTCCTAATTTACCCTTATCCTTAATTATAGTCATTTCTATATTACATTTTTTAAGACATTGTATATATTATATTCAAAGGGTGCTATAGTACAATTACTCTTCTATTTATAATTTCTTAAAGGATGTGTCAAGTTAATAGTGGACAACTATTATTGGACAGAGCGAGATCTCAGAAATTCTATTTGATTTCATTTAACACCAACAATCATAGTCATATAATGATTCAAATGGGCACGGATTGCTGCATCAAATATGCTTATATATCCTATAAGCTCTCTCATTTCTTCATGATTGTATCTATAAAACTTTCACTTGATTACACATAATTATGATTAATTTGTATAAACATAATCATTTATCATTGCTCTTCATAAATTTAAATCACCTAAACTAGGAGAATCAATAAGAAACTCTTTCTCTTTTACTGTATCAATTATTTTGCTTTAATTATCTGGATTGTTATTATTCATATATATTATTATGTTCTCATTTTATTCACACTATATCTATGGATTAGTTACGTTGCTTGCGGTCTTATTCTGAACATTTTAACTGATTAACTTAATTAAACAAACTTTAGGCTAAACAATATATGTATATCATTTATAATATTTATCCTATTTTGAGTATGTAAACACCTAATAATTTTAATTGAGGTTTGGTCAAAAGCATGATTCCCTTTTTGGATCATGGGGACAAATGAAGAAGAGAAAAAGAGCTAAAAAGTATAAAAAGAGTAATACATTTTTAATGTTGGAAAGGGGAAGAAAAACAACTTCTTATACTTAACTAAATAAAGCATGCATATAGGATGTAAAGATATGATACATGGAATCAAGGAAGGATTGCACAAGTCATATAAGGAGTCCACCAGTCTATTCCCCATTCAATTTGACTCTTTACCCCATGGGAGAGGCAAGTGGTAAGAGATAGTTTAGTTCAGTTCATTATTTAAGATGCATACGTCCTACATAGTATTTATCAGATAAAACGTTAATTTTTGAATATCAGTGAAGTAGTTCCCAACTTTATGCCTTGCAAATCAAATTAACAGAATTCAATTAGTTGGCCAACAGATCCCAGAAAACCTCTGGATTTTTGTATTGTGAAATACATAATGCCTGAAAAACAAGATATAAATATGATGAATAAATGACAAAAATAAAAAGGAGTGACGTAGTTATGCAAAATTAGAAGAATAAATAAAATATAGTAATAACTTACTTGCATGGAAAAAGCTATATGAATCAATAAGGATTCATCCCATGGCTTTCCAATAAATTGAAGACCAATAGGCAAATGAGAGTTATCATAACCAACCTAGCCAAAATATAAAATTGTAGTACTTGTTAATTTGAGAATTTTGAATATATAATTAAAACTGTTAGTATATATTTTAAGAAAAGAGGGAGCATGCATACGGGTATAGTAATAGCAGGCAATCCCAGAAAATTTCCTGCTATCTGGTATCGAACTAGTGCAGCTGAAATAATCAAGTTTTCTCATCAGAATAACCAAATATTTATCAACCATCAGAATAACGAAATATGTAAAATTAACTGCATGCCATCAAAATAACCAAAGATGTAAAATTAACTGCCATCATAATAACCAAAGATTTATCAATCATGAACTGGATGAATACTTGGAAACATATATGGAAAACTTCAACAAGGATGAAAGAAACAAGGACAATAGTATCTAGATCTAAAACCCCTTAGTCCGACTGAGTACCACTTGTTGGTACTCATACTATATATACTTCTGCACCTTGCAGATCATAGTACGTGTCCTTGTCATTGACTTGGGCCACGTGCGGAGTAACTATAGATCGGAGAGTTGGGGTGAGCTTTTGGTATGTGGAGTTGTCCTTCTCCTTCTGTTTTGGATGGACTAGTCTTTAATTATGTTGTATTCAGAGACGGTTCTGTATATTTGTATTTATATTGTACTCCTATTTGGAATAGTAGCTCGACTACTCACTGATACTAGGTGTTGGGGATGTTTTATCTATGTATATATATTTCTTTTATTTTGATATTTGTTCCTTGCTTTCCTTATGTATATCTTCCACGTGCTAGCCTGTTACTTCTTGTTCCAAGCTATGGGTTTGTCTTACCCTACTGGTGGAATGTTAGTAGGTATCATCATGACCTTAGATTTTGGATCGTGACAGATTGGTTTCATGATGATTTTGATCTTGATGATGATGAAATGTCACTCATTACAAGAAACTTAAAAGTGGTTTCTAAAGAAAGGTAAATGAGAAGGAATAAAGGTTCGAAATGGCAGACATAAGTTCTCTGAAACAAAAAATTGATCACATGATAAAGGACTGCCCATTGTGGGAAATTGATTGTAAAAAGAAAAGTTGAAAAGGAACAATTCTATGATACTAAGAAAAAGGGCTCCTGAAAGGCCATGGCAGATAGGGAACCAAGTTTTGATGAGGAAACTGATGACTTCTATAACAAGACTACAAACAGGGACTAGTTACTCAGTGCCTTAAATATGAATTCATTAATATTGAAACTAGCAAAGACAAATATGAGAAAGACAATTATTCCCTAAAGGAACAGATGAAACAACTTGATAACTATTACTCCCTTCGTCCACTTTTAATTGTCATGGTTTTCTTTTTTTAGAGTCACACTATAAATTTTTTGACTAATATATGCGAAAAATTGCAACTTATAGTACTTTTCGTATAGTTTTTTAATATTAATTTTTTTTGGTTTAAAATATCGAATTAATGTAATTTAATTTAAAACTTTGAAAACTAGTCAAATTTATATATTTGTAAACTACGTAATAGTATAAGTCACAATAAATATGAAAAATTTATGGTGAATGATAGAGTTGTTTGAGTGTCGAAATGTAAAATGTGTCTTGGGAGAGAGGGAGTAATTAAAAGGAAAAAAGTCATTGAAGTACAGTGATGTATGCATGTTAATAAAATGACGTTGATACCTCCATTTATGTAGTCGAGTTCCCCGGTGTGGCGAGTGTCGTTCCCTATGGTGTAAGCAGTAACCCTACACAAGTAGTATTTGGCAAAATTGTGATTTGATTAATCAGCTTATCCTTTGTTGTGAAGAATATTATTATTATTATTATTCTGGTAAATGCTCTGTCATACATCATACGTACCCTGTTGTTGGTGTAACAATGACATCTGCCATGCTAAATATTCTTTTGTGAAACTGCAGCTGCCGATTTCTGGAGATGAAATAAATAAAACTAATGAGCAAAAGGGACAACACTTGATTTACCTAATAATTTCATGTATATTGATCAAATTATATAACATAAAAATAACTCGTCTAAAAATGATATACTTACTAACTACATTTTTGTTAGGATGTTTGCTTGCAAAAAAGCTTGGAGTATAGGATAGATTAGCTAGTTGGGAACATGCATGCATGATAATTAGAAATATTTCCTTGGAATAGCACCATTGGAAATGAACACATATTATATTCTAAGAAATCTCAATCAACAACGACATAACCTAACATTTTACTTAAAGATTCTCCTTAATTAATGTAGCAACGCCAAGAATTAATTCACACCTACATACTGGTGAATTTTTTAGCTACTCTTCTTAATTCCACCAAGAATTATTTATTGCTTCCTGCTACTCATCATTAGGTACATAAGGCTATTCCTTCGCATGCATGGAAACATTCTTCTTCTTCCCTGCATCCCATTTTATTGAAAATCTTCTTAATTAATTATGAGATAGGTATGATTTCAATGAGGTTTCGTCATAAAAACTCACTACCAACTCCATCAACTCCTATAAATTTCATAAGAAAATTGTCTGAAAGTGATGTAGGATTTGGACCGTATTATATTGTTGGGTCGGGCATACCCTCTATGTTCACCAATAATAAGGCGTATATATTATGGAACCTTTGCTAGCAAAATTATGTCATGCATGTATGTTTCACACACTCGACAAGATATAAGATGACTTAACTTATCGATACAACGTCAGACTCCATGGTGGATTATGTTGGTTACATTAATAAGCTCCCATAATGAACTAATGTCTGATGAAAGACAATAACGTTAACATCAACCTAATGAATTTTTATCCTTTAATCCAGCTTTCATGTTATGCTTATGATTCTATTAGTTGTCTATTTCGTTACTGTTATTATATTTCATGTTTCATCCCGCCATTTAACACACAATACAATTTCATATGATACCCTTATGTTTCATATGGTATTTAAATTTCTAACACACAATACAGGATATCCTGACACAATTAACAATAAAAGAAGAAACCATGTAATCTGGCTCACAAACTATTCTTATAGTTGTATGTTGGAAAATATGGAAAAGCCATGTTGCTTGTAGATATGGGAATTAGAAAATATTAAGTACTACAAAGAAATGGAGTATCAAAATATTATAGATCATTAAAATTTTCCTTTAATAGAGCTAAGCCTACCCAAATATAATATTCATTGGCATATATAATAATTGGTTGTAAATTTGTGATATAGTTAATTAAATACAAGATTAAACCAGAGAATGGGATGATTAAAGTTAACAGTGATGGAAGTTTTTAAGAGATTCAAACAAGGTTGGAATTGAGGTAATGAAGACCGATAATATAGCAGAAGTTGAAGCTTCTATGTTTGGACTGGACTGGTGCATTCAAAAAAGCTATATCTATCAATATTATTATTTTGGAGATGAATTATTTATTGATTGTTTAGATACTCTATAAAAGATTGATGAGGAATAACAAGTGCGAAGAGATGTAGAAGAAAGTATTCAAAAGGTTGACATGGCTAATATTGTGGTAAATCGTTGTTTAAAGGAAGTTAATAAATTTGTAGACTCCCTTGCCAAATTTGTTACTACTCGAGATGATTACAACGTTTTTCTACCATATTGGCATCGTCTACCCAACATCTCCAAAAAAAAAAACTGGATAAAGAATATGCCTAACATCAGGATTCGATATGACAAATCCAATATTTTTGTAATAAGTTAATTGTATAAAGGTGGATGGATGAAGCAACCTGTATATTTTGTCTATATGATACCCTTCCTCAGTTACTATGGTGATCAACCCATTTTTAAGGTTTAATTCCCCTTTTTTTGCGAGATCTTCAGTTAGTGTTACACCAAGAAAATCATAATATCTCATAATGATAATGCAAATTCCCATTTCCCTTAGCACCTAAATGTAAATAAAAGTCAAATGATATATCTCATGTAAGACCAAGAGCCACAAATTAATTAAAACTTACGAAAGAAGAGTAAGTATTCTGAAATTGTGCTTACCTAATTCTTTGAGCATTCAAATACTCCTGGCTACTAAAGGAACCATATACAGAAAGTGCAACTCTAGCATCCCATCCTACTTCATCTTTATTCCTATATATGTCAATATTCAAAATATATGATCATTTAGCAGAAGAGTACTAATATAATATGCGGAATGTGTGTTAAAAAGAAAGAAAATTAACTTACAATTTTTCTAGTTCACGGCCAATTGAAGTAGTGCATTCAGATCCAATTGACACATAATGTGCCAACCGCATTACCTCTATCTCTGGGATTGTAACTTCTATGGTCTTTAAAATATAAATTACAAGAATGTTAACATGATTACAAAAAATATTCAAAGTATATATATGAGATGCTTCTTTAGCACAACTCCAAAAAATTATAGTTACGTTGAAGTAATTAGTTTTCTAGGATATCACATGCACCCTCATTTTCAGATGTACAATCACATAGATTTGTAACTTTAATTACACCAGTTGAAAGACTAATTAGATTATTAAGTGTCACAAATACATAAACAAGTCACATGATATTGAAGTGTTTGAGACTTCAGGCCAGTTTTAGAGAGAAAAAGAGAAAGTGTGTTGGATGATCAATGTTGATTACAGAGGCCAATACTCTATATTAAACTTCATCGATTGACTTTGCTATTGTATATAGGCTTTCTTAGAAGCTCAAAAAAATATTGTTTGCACCAAGATAAATATTGTATCATGTAGTGTTGCACTAATACCTCCCTAGCTAGTTTATATCTGAGTACCTATATATATAGACCGAAGGGTGACTGCGAAATAATGTTGCATAATTCATTTGATATATCTAAGTATTCATTTGACACTTTGAAGATGCTCACTATTTGGCCTCTGCATAAATTGACTTGTCACATTTACTTCATGTTATTACTATATTATCTACATATATACCGTATAAGTATAATTGTGCCTCTCTTGCAGTGAAGTGTAACTGTACAAGGAAGGGTTTTCTCTACTATACATGAATACAACATGAAGTACGTGTAGAATAAATCTATCAAATGAGGCTCTAGATATATACTTGTTTAAGACCATATAATGTCTTTTTCAAATAGACAAACGTGATTGAGATACCTAGGATCAATTTGTTCTGGTGATTGACTCATAATATACAGATGTCCATGTAAAAATGCATTTCTAACATCTATTTATATTCATTTGAAATCATTAGAGATATTCATAAACTTCAAATTCTAGATCATCCTCCTCCGCTAGTTTTGAGGTAAGATAAGTAAGTAGTAGTATTATACCTTTTTAGCCTTGAAACAATGTTTAAACATATAACCATTTTCAATTACTGAAGAATTAACTAGATGGAGTTCTCTACAAGAAAAAAGAAATATTAGGAAATGATTAAATTACCTCCCAGCCATAGTTGTCGTGCAATTTTTCTAAAGCTCGAGAACAACAAACTCTTATTTCCTCATTGCAGTCATTAAACCACTAAACAGAAGAAACAATGAAAAACAAAAACAAAAAAGTCAAGTTTATATTATATGTATATGACTAATAGAAAAGGAAAAACTAGCAAGGCTAATAAAAAGAAACAAACCTCTCCATATTTGGCTAATCTGATATTAGGTATAGGCTTTGGTGACTTGAGCATAGGGAAACATAGTGTTGGCTGCTATAAAGAAATTTAAAATCCTTGTGATCTATGATAAATACATGTTATAAATACATAATTTTAAGGAGAGAGATAATTTTTACGAGAGCGGTTTGAGAATGATGTGATGAATTGGGGCCACTGATAGCTGCATAACTGGAAATTAAGTCAACGTACAATTTGATTAGCTTTGTACATTCTAAATGAACTTAACTTTAAAGCTAGTAAATAATACTAACACTAGAAGTGCATCTTCAACTGTACCGGCAAGTATCCCTACCATTCCAACTGTCCAATTCAGAGGAAGAACACTGACCAACAAGATATCGTCGAGGTAAGAATCAATATATATTGGGAATCGACGTCATTTATAGAAACTACACATATTTCTTGGAATTGTGTCAACTGAGTGTTGCAAAATCTTGATCATGTTCTGGACTTGTACAAGTGCAGTGCAGTGAAAGCTTTAGTCTTTGTATCAACAAAATTAATACATACCCTGAGTGTGATACACGTCCAAAGCTTGGCTTAAAACCAACAACTCCACAAAGAGCAGCAGGCATTCTTACAGAACCTAAACTTATTCAGAAAAAAATAATAATCAGCTAATTGATATTACTCAAAAAGTTAAAAGAGTAAAGATGAATTAAAAAGGTCTTTACAAAATATTATCCTTGATTATAAAATTACAGACACAACTAAATAAGAAAATACATTGTCCGTCCCAAAGTACACGCTCCTTCAAACGTCTACAGAGCCTACTGCTCCGTTGACACATGTGAAATTGTTGCGAGTGTTTATAGGCTCAAAATTGACTCACGTGTGCGAGCATGTAATTAATGAAGTGAACATGTAATTAAGATTAAATTTCTATTGTCTCATTTATTTGCACTTAATGTAGGTCTCAATACAAATGGTTCAAACTTTAGGCTATTAAATGCATTTGTTTATATTATGATTTAAACACTTACTTGGTTTGAATAAGTCTTCATTATAAAGAACCTAAATAAAATTTTAATATCATTGAGAGATGGTTATTGATTAATATGTCACCACCAACCACCTCATCATTAATGTCAACCACTATTAAAGCCGCCAATAACTTTTGTCATCACAATCACCACCGTAAACTACCACCATAATCAGCCACTACTCCAGTCGCTACCACATGTACCACCTCCATTATTATAGTTATATCCAAAGCAACCACAATCGTTGCATCATCCTACACCATAATAATCAATCACTACCACCATTACAGGCAGTCCCTATTACCAATCCACCTCCACCATCATAATCAATCGCTACCACCATTATAGGCAGTCCATATTATCAATTACATCCACCATAACAATTAGCACCACCACCAACTACAACCAACACATCATCAACAACCACACATTCTTTTGTCATCACAATCACCACTAGCAACCTTCATCGCTACGAACCACTAGTAACCTTCATCGCTACGAACCACTAGGGGTTCAAGTGAGTCTCAGACACTCAAATGAAATTTTGGAGAAACGGATTTTTATGGTGTTTGGTGTTAGATTTTGTTGCAGTTCTGAACTACACGACCTAAATTCAAGCTAGACGATGACGTAGGATAGAAGAATGTTGAGGAAGTGCACACCAGAATAAATTGCTATACTTTGGTTGTTTATTGTTTCCTGGTTTGTTTAAAATTATGTTAGATACTGTTAAGTATTAGTTCCTCAATTTCAGCAAGCAAAAACTTAGTTTTAGCAGATTTTTAGCATTACCTTACAACATCTTAGTTAAGCTGCAATGTATTTATTCAGTCTCATATTATCAATAGAAAACACTTTTTCATTTCTTCTTCAATCATCTCTTATTCTCCTTTGTTAAACACTAACATTGGCATCAGAGCCCTTTATATCTTAATGGACTTGTGAGAATTTGTGAGTTATATTGATTGAGTAAAACCCAAACATAATCAAGCCATTTCATAAAACTAGCTTGCAGAATGTATTTTTTTCATCAATTGCTCCACCAATTTTTTATGGAGAAAACTATCAGGTTTGGGTTGTTAGGATGGAAGTCTACATGGATGCATGTGATCTCTTGTAACACCTAGGAAACTGAAAATTTGATAGAAAAGGAAAAATGTATTTTTGCACTGATCCAGTGGTCTACGAGACAGACCTACGACCCGTAGGACTTCCTTCAGGCCGTAGGGAGGTAACCGTAGAACTGGAGTTGGGTTTTTAGAATTTCAAGTTTCTGAAATTTGACCTACGAATGAATAAGACGAGTGGTAGAAATTTGGACGAGTCGTAGATGGGTTTCGTAGGGGCAATCCCAACTTAGTGAAATTTTGGGTTAAAAAGAGAGGTATACGGACCTTAGAAGGTTTGATGGTCCATTAAATAGTGTCGTAGGAAGTTGGCCAATTTTAGGCCCTGGTAACTCGACCTACATTTGATAGCATGGTCTATATGAATTTCTACGGCCCATAGGTCCAAACCGTAGGGTCCTCCAACTATTATTTATTAGGGGTATTTGGGTATTTTCCTACATATTTAATACCTATAATATGTCATTTTACCCCTATTTCAAAGTCCTATAACTACCCTTCAAATCCTAAATCTACCAAACCCTCTCATTCACTCAAATCCCCAATTCACATCCACATTCATCATCTCCGTATTCTCTCAAGATCAAGGAAGAACATCTAGGGTTTCAAGCTTCAAGTCTCAATTTTTCTCCATTTCTTTTGGGCTTTGATAATTAAGGTATGTAGGGTTTCATCAATGAGTTTCATTCATCCATTGAGTTCCAAAGATTTCTCAATTCTCCAAGTTCAATTTCATCAATTTGATTAGGTTTTCATTCAATGTTGCATGAATTCTAATTGTGTTGATTCAATTTTTTTTTATTTTTGATCTTATCATGATTGTTGTGACTCAATTACATGATTTCCAATTGATTTCGTATGAACCCATGCATTATTCATAATTTTGACTATGAACTCTTAAAGTATGAATTTATGAAGAAGGTATGAATCTATCAATGATGTTTTAAGAAAGCTATGCATGATTTATGAAAAAAAATGTTTTATGATCTAGGTTGTTTTAAAATAAGCACTAATAAAATTGTGAAAGAATTTTCTCACATGTTAAGGAATCATGATTGGTGAAAGGTTTTCTCACACATGGATGATTCATGATTTAAGGAGCTACTCTATGATGTTTTAAGCTTGGATTAGTAGCTTAATTATGTTATTCCATGTATGATGATACGTTTATAAATATGACTATTCTGTTGGGATTTTTACTTATCACCGAGTTGACATTGAGATGGAGGCTCTCTCGTTAATAGAGGTCGAGTCTTTAGTAGCAATCTCATTTTCCCTTACTACGTGCCCCCGTAGGAGTTGTATTAGAAATACATAGCTAGTTGATATACCTACGCTATAAGTTTAAGGTCATTTCTTTGGCAAGTAAGAACCTCTATTTTCAGTGTGGGAGCAAGACACTTGATTCCATGTTATAGCTCACATGATCTTTATCGGTTAATGGTAAATATCCTACAAAAATGAACTAAGTTACTTTCAAGGTTTGATGAATCTTTCAATATGATTTTAAGATGAATTAACCATGTTCGTAATTTTTTATTCTTCTTTACAGATTTACTACGTTTTAGCTTGGTCATGTACATCATATTTTCCGTTATGTCCCCTTATGGTCACATGTCATCTTTTCATGTATATACCTCATACTTAGTACATTCTATATACTAATGCATACTTGTGCCTACATTGTCTCAAAATGTAGGGTCCGGTAATCTTCCTCCCGTTCGTGGCTAGTGGCTTGCTTTGTAGATTGAAGACTTGGTGAGTCCTCATGTTCCAGGACCTTGTCACCTATATATTTTTTTTTTACATTCTCTTATGTCTTTAGTTTTTCGGCATTTTATGTGGTGTATGGTTTACGTCCCAACCACTCTTGATGTATTAGATTGGCTTGTCGAGACTATAATTAGATTTTTGCTTTTATGTCAAACTCTTTTATAATGTGAGACTTCCTTCTTTAAGTTCTCAAATTTTCTATTATATTTGTGTTGCATAAATGTCAAGTGGCTGGTGTAGGGCCTCTCGAGGTCTTATACGCCATGCCACGTCTAGGATGTACTTTGGGTCATGACATCTTTGGGAGGCAGTAGAGGAGGATTATGAAGTTCTTCCTTTTACCAAGCAATTTTACAATGGCTCAGATTAGAACTCACAAAGAAAAGAAGAGCACGAAGTTGTAGGTGGAAGTGTGTCTATATGGTGAAGTATCTCCTACTATTTTTTTCAGGATCATGACTCTTAGATCGGTTAAGAAAATATGGGACTTTCTAAAAGAGGAATATTATGGAGATGAAAGAATTCGAGGCATGAAGGTCTTGAACCTAGTGAGGGAATTTGAAATGCAAAAAATAAAGGAATATGAGACAATTAAAGAGTACTCAGATAAATTATTATTCTGGCCAATAAGGTAAAATTACTTGGTGCCGAACTTTCTTATACAAGGATTCTGCAGAAAATTCTTGTTACTTTACTTGAAAATTTTGAAGCAACAACTGCTTCATTGGAAAATACAAAAGATTTGTCAAACATTACTTCGGCAAAACTTTTAAACTCCTCGCAAGTACAAGAACAGAGAAGAATTATGAGGAACAAGGCAACTGTTGAAGGAGATTTGCAAGCAAGGCATCAATTCAATGCTGGAGGCAAAGTAGGAAGAAGAAGTTCAAGAAGAGTTATGCTACAACCACTGAAACTAATAGCAATTCTAGCAATGACAACAAAGGTGGAAAATATCCACCATGTCAGCATTGTGGGAAGAGGAATCATCCACACTTCAAATGTTGGAAGAAAAACTAATATGAGATGCAAAAAGTGACATAAACTTGGTCATGCTAAGATTATTTGCAAAGAAAAAGGACCACAACAATTAAATGGAGCCTAAATTGCAGACGAACAAGAAGAAGATCAATTATTTGTGGCTACTTGTTTTGCAAGTAGAAGTTCAAGTGAAAACTGGTTAATTGATAGTGATTTTACAAAACAGATGACTCATGATGAGGAGATTTTCAGAGAGATAGGCAGATCTGCAATCTCTAAAGTCAGAATTGGTAATGGCAATTATCTTTTTGCCAAAGGGAAAGGCACAGTAGGTATTGAAAGCTACTTAGGTACAAAGTTAATCTCACATCTACTTTTTGTTTCTGAACTTGATCAAAATTTGTTGAGAGTAGGGAAACTTTTGGAAAATGGTTTTAAGCTTATGTTTGAGGACAAGAAGTGTGTGAACTTTGATCCAAAGGGCCAACAAATATGTCAAATTAAAATGAGAGGGAATAGTTTTCTCTTTGATCCAATGGAGAAAAAGTTGGTTGCCTATACGAGCCAAGAGATGACAACAAATATATGGCACAAGAGACTCAGACATTTCCATCACATGGAACTCTTGTACATGCTGAAGAAAGATATACTTCGAGGACTGCCACTTATGGAGGACAAAGACGCAACTTGCAGCACATGTCAATTGGGAAAGCAAAGTGGGATGTCTTTTGCCATGACAACCTAGAGAGCATCAGTGAAGCTTCAATTAGTCCATACTGATTTGTGTGGACCACATAGGACTGCTTTTCTAAACAAAAGTAAATACTTTATAGCATTCATTGATGATATGACACAAATATATTGGATTTATTTTCTCAAGTTCAAATCTGAAATACCTGAAGTGGTCTAGACATTCAAAGCTTTGGTAGAAAGTCAAAGTGGTTACAAGATTCAAATGCTTAGATCAGATAATTCTCCCATAACCTCTTCATCCTTGTGTAATAGACAATAATGTCTAACACTCCTTGTGTAAGATCGTTGATTTCCTTCTGTATCTGATACAATTTTATCCCATTTGTTTGATCATATCTATCTTCCAATTCCTTCCAAAGTTCCACTAAGTTACTGACATATTCTAGACGGTCTGAAATTTCCTTACTTAATGAATTCAAAATCCATGATGTGACCATATCATCACATCTCTACCATTGACGAAGCTGAGATGAATTCACATTTGGTTTCACACAGTTTCCATCGATGAAGCCTAATTTGTTCTTCACTGATAGGGCTCGCATAACTCCCCTCCTCCAAGATCGATAACCTGCTCCATCAAATTGAGCAGGAATAAGCATCATCCCTGGGATATCCAATGAATGCACATACAAGGCATTATTTGTGTCATTACCAGTAGTATTACTAGCTCCTTCAGAGACAGATGAACTTTCACCAACAGCCATGAATGTGTTTTTGATTTGATCAAAAGAACAATCGAAAAGGAAGAATTCTAAATTGAGAAACTCCTCACAGAAAAGGAAGAAGAGATGAACACGAAGAGATTACCAATCTCTGAAATAACTCGATGAACAAGATCGAATAAAAAAAATTGAAATTGAAACGAACAATCACCGATTAACAGTGATGGAAACGAAAAGATCGAATTGAGATACCTACTCTCTGATACCAGATTAAAGTTCACATCAATGGTGAAGAACTTACCCAATACAAGGCATGGAAGCCATAGCTAATCACTGAAGAAATAGATTGAGAGAACTTGTGATTTTGTGTAAAATGAAAAGCTTACTTGTTATTGATTATCAGTGAGGTATATATACAAGAGAGTGAATGTGACAGTTGTACACAACCAATTGGTTGAGAAAGGAATATATGCTAACCAACTAACGACTATGAGCTAACTAACTAACTGACAGAGTGCATAACTAAAACTATATCCTATACAAGATTGATTAAACACATATTCAATTGTGATCTTCAATACATGTGATAGGGAATATGATATAACTATTATTGTGACGGGCTTCCTTTAAAGTTAAAAACATAAAAGATAATGTGTTTAACTGGTGTTCTTCTTATTTTATATTGATATGTCATACATTGACATATTATTTTATATTGATATGTCATACATTGACATATTTTCTTCTATGCATAAATAATCATGAGTTTGGGGATGTTGGAGAATTTTCGTACTGAATCAGAGTTATTGGTTGAGTTGAGCACATTGAAATCGTTTATGCTGGAAATTGAGTTTGATAGTATATTGAATTTCATTTAGGAGATTGGACTTGGGATCAATTTACAAAGGAAAGTTTCTCAAGCAAGAGGAAAAACAAGTTGATGCCTAAAGGAGATAAGCTTTTCCAAATCCTAAAAAGATCAGTCATAATGCATGAGAAGTTGATTTGTTGTGAATTCAGTGTTCAAACTCTTTTAATGACGACATTGGCTTGATTTATTTTTGATGTAGTTAGTGAGCCCATGAATTCGAGAACGAATTCACTGTTCAAGTGAGAAGAAGGAGACATCTAATATAGTACTTGACGTGGAGTTAAGAATATTAACAACTAGCTCAAGGAGGTTAATTTTTATTTTATTTTTTTGAAGGTTCCCTTAATGGAATTCAATAGATAAGCAAAAAAAAAAACATAGAAGGAGTGAAACCTGACCTCCGAATGAATGAGGAGAGTATCCTTACTGTAACTTATCAAAATAAAAGGAAAGAAAAAGGAGGAGGATTGCTCCTCATTAGATAGGCTTACAAAAAATCTAGAATCCTTCTGCTAGAAGCAATGAAACAAATTTCAGCCAGAGTCAGATATGAATTTGCCCTTCTTCATTTGAATTTTGTCACCTATATTATTCTTCACGGTGAATGTTATCTTAGAAGGAAGGTTTATAGCCTTGGTGAAGAAGATAGTTATTTTTCCATGTTCAGCATTTGTAAACAAATCAACTGTAGTGTTACCTTATTTGAAGGTGCGAGTGAAAGAGAAATGACCAGGTGAACTCAAGACCATTAATTTGCTAGATGAATGTTAAAGAATGAAAGCTAAGCCTAGGGACATCCAAAGTGAATTACAAGGTTTGAATGAAGAAGAGAACAAGCAAGAAATTATAAAGTATTCACAGCCTAAAAGATTTGAAACAACGTCACGTCATTTACCGCCCTAAAGAAAAACCATGAACGGCACCTCCTAATTCCAGAATTAGTAAAGCTTAGGCCTGTTTTTAAGTACATTTTGAATATATGTTTGGTCCATTAACTATTCTAGTACAAATATTTATAGTGGGGAAAAATAGAGAAACAAACATCATAAAGCTTATGTTAGAAAATTGAAAGTTTAGTGAATGATTACCTCCTCCATCGACTCCAAGGGCAGCAGGGCATAATCCTGCCGCCACAACAGCAGCAGAACCACTAGAAGAACCGCCGGCAATCCTTCCAATATTGTAGGGATTTCTAGTAGTTCTATAAAAACAATAATGAATCAAGTATATAATTACTATACTGTGATATTAGTACAAGATTTTTCACCCCTTAACATAAATTAACCATATCACATATGTGCTTTATAGCTACGTTGTTCAGACTTTTCAAAAATATCGGCAAGTGCATATTAGAGATATCCAAAAATAGTGATGTCCTTACGCAAAAAGGTACGTCGACCCTTATAATTTATTTCCGACTAAAATAAATATAATATTTATGTCAATTAAAAAAATACAACAACAAATTGTTCTTACCCATGATGAGGATTTATACCACTAGTTCCAGCACCAAGCTCATGCATGTTTGTTTTCCCCACCAATATGGCACCACATGATCTCAAACGTTTCACACACTCTGCATCATCCTTGCATTTTCTTACCTTATGCATCCATTTTGTGCCTCCTGCACGCCCATTCGGAAAATCATGATTGATAACAAATGTAAACTTTAACTATGTGTAAATGGAATTCAAATGTAATATCATTGCAATGTACTACACAACAAGATCTAGAGTGGATAAATAGGGAAGAAAAGCGATACAATATTTAAGTGTGATTACAGATCTAGAGTTGAATAATCAGAGTAACTTCCTATCTAGCTATTTATATACTGTAATAACAGACTAACATCCTAACTAATTATGTTACTAAGAAAAGAGCTAATTCAACTTAATTACACAATTAGTATATGTACACAAGTTCCTTACTAGGCTACTTTAGCATACTTTAGTAATTCTTTCATACACACACAAGCCCGTCAAACTAGGAGTAATGATGGTGGTATTCCTCTCTAACACAAGAAAGATGGTTGTAAGTCAGTCTTTTATTCTAAAGAGGACAGACAGATTGTGTCAATGAGCCAAAATTGTAGTTTTTACATGGTGAAATGACAGTAAATATTAATATGTATAGTATGCTCATGAAACATATGATTAGTTGCTATCTGAATATAAGATTGATTGGCATAACGAATGGGAATGGTATCTAAATTCTACACCAAATTTTTGAAACAAACCAACTAATTAGACTAATTCAACAATAATGGAGGCCAAATTTCTATACTCTGCTTCTGCTAAGCTTATGGAATTGACATTCTATTTCTTAGATTTGCATGACATTAAGAAATCACAAAACTTAACCAAGTATCCTGTAATGTAATGGATCTTCTTGTACTTTGGAAAAATGTTGGAAATAATAATTCAAAGTTGAAGTAGGAATTCTAGGTGTTTGAGATTTATTATTTATGGTATTTCCTCATTTATGTTTAACTAGGATTTGTTAGTTATAGTGGTTCCTAGTCCTAGTGTAATTTGATAAAGGTAAAAATCAAATTACACTAGGACTAGTTTACCTTTATAAATAGGAATGTTACTAGTTATTTTGAACATACATAAAATATAGAATATACAGAAATATAGAACTTGAAGTAAGATTTAAGAACCTTCGAATTTATAAATAAAATATTTTCCTTCAAATTTGTATCAGAGTCAGTAATCTTCACCACCAAATAACATATATGACATCAAATATGTTTTCGCTAATTTCTTCTCCTATGTTCAAAGGAGAAAATTATCAATTATGGGATGTGAAAATGAAGCATATTTACAATCTATGGATCTATGGGATATTGTTAAAGAAGATGGTACATCACCACTACCTGCCAATCCAACTTTGGCTCAAATCAAAAACCATAATGAAGAAAAAATTAAAAAGTTCAAAGCAATGAATAGTTTATATTCCTCAGTATCTGAAGAAATTTTCACAAAAATCATGACGTGTGAAACTCCAATGGAAATATGAATTCTCTAAAGGATGAATATTTGGGAAATGAGCAATCAAGGTTAATGCAAGTTTTGAACCTTAAAAGACAATTTGAGATTCAAAAGATGAAAGAAGCAGAAGGAATTAAAGATTATGTTGGCAAACTCACATCAATTGCTAACAAAATTAGATTGTTTGGTGAAAAATTTCCCGATACCAGAATTATTGAGAAAGTTTTTGTAACATTGCTTGAAAAGTTTGAGTCCAAGATCTCTTCACTTGAGGAGTCTAAAGATCTCTACAAAAAATTAGTCAATGATTTGGTGAACGTTTTGCAAGCAGTTGAGCAAAGAAGGGCAATTAGAGATGAACAAACAACTGTAGAGGCTTTTGCTGCTAAAATATCAAGTGAATCAATCCAAAAAAAAATTCCACCTTGCAGTACATGTAAGAAAAATAATTATGCAAAGGATGATTATTGGTTTTAAAGTGTAACATCCCAAAAAAAATTTGAGCTAAAACTCAAACTGTTCTTCGTAGTGAGTGATATTTTTGCAAGAAATTTAAAATTTCTTGAGTATTAATGTCACTAGAGGTAGCACCTTAAGTTTCAAGAAGAACTTAAGAGAGTTCATTCAAGTAATTCCTAAGTTTTTTATTAAATTTTGGGTCAAATTCAAATGACCATAACTTTTGGTACAGAATGAGTTAGTGGACCCTTAAGATATTAAATTAAAGACCTTCGAGTCCTCTTTCCAACGCCACAGAGTTCACTAAATTTCGAGCTCTGAGTAAAAAGTTATGACTGATTTACTAAAGACGCCCAAACCTGGCAGTAGCTCTGCGATGGCTCCGCGTTACGAAGCCAATACAGACCTCATTGCCTGGTGAAAAATTATTCCGACTCTTAGCTCGTTTTAGTTATTTCCTTAAGGGTATTTTAGTCCTAAAAACCCTTAGGAGGTCATCTAAATTGCTCTAAACGTGTAGAAAATCAATTTTTCATAAATCAAACCCTCTCATCCACTCCTAAAATTCTACGCTCAAGGGATTCAAGAAACGCTAAGGCTAGGGTTCATCTTTCAAGATTTTCCTTCAAAAAGATGGTTCTTTTAGGTATGTAAGCTTTCATAGTGTTGGACTTGTTCGCCCTCACACCAATCATGTTTAATTCTATCTTTGAATTCGTTTTTGAGATTGAATTATTAAGTTCTTGAGAAGTTCTTGAGTTTTAGCCATTATTGAATGTCTTTGAGTTCTTGAGGTTTGAGGTTTGAGTTTTGCAAACAAGTTGAGTTCCCTGATAGATTTTATATGGGTTTCGTTGAAGTAGTTCTGGGTTTGTGAAATTTTGTGAACTTGGTTGATAAAACTACTTTGGGTGCGAATTGAGTCGAGTTTGGGAGAGGAATAAAAGATCGGGCAGATAATTGCACTTAGGTTCGCGTCACGGAGGCGCTTAAGTTTTCAGGATCCAGTCAGTCACCTCCTCTCCGCGTCGTGAAGAGGATACGAAGTCCTCTACCTCAAAAATATTTTAGCAACCAACAATTTAATTCCATCTCCGCGTCGCGCCAATGTTCTTTGATTTGGGTCTTCACCCGTTCTTGTGATCAACTATCTTAACCCTCCTAAATCATTGAGAGGTCCTACATTCCAAAGCATAACCCTTGAATCCATAATTCAAATTCAAGGTAGAGTTAAAAGTTTGAGTCTTGAGAGTTCTTTCAGACATTTTGAGAAAGCCCCTTTGAGTCCTTTGAGGAGTCTTCTACAACTTCTAATTACTTGTTTCAAGACTCGAGTAAGTGAGCATGAGAGTGAGAAGAATGAATTCATGAGTCTACACTATCACCTAGATCCTTCGTATCATGAACCATAACTCTTGAATTCGTAATTCACATTCAAGAGACTTAAGAATAGAGTTCAAGAAAGTTTTTGAGTTCAATTGTGAATCCTTTGAAATCCACCATTAATTTGAGTTAAGTTTTGAAAAGTAAGTATGAGAATGAGAAAAGTCGTAAACCTGAGTTCCTTATTGATATTTTGACCCTTGAGTCGAGTCGTTCATGCTCATAACTCCCGCATGAACTCCATCAGTTTAGTATCTTTGAAAGAAGTAGTATCTTCAAGTTCTAAGTCTTGAGTATTGAATTCTTAATCCCCTATGAGATTATATTTATAATCATGGCACTATTACATGTTACCCATGAATTCCTCGAGTTGAATTGTTCATGCCCATAATTCCGCATGAACCCTATAAGTTGAACAGTTTTGAGATGAGAAGTATATTTGAGTCCTTGAGTTGAGTAGTTCATGCTCATAATTTCGCATGAACCCTCTGAGTTGAGCATTCTTGAAATGAGTAGTATTAGTGAAGTTCTTGAGTTCCAAGTATTGAGATCTATCTATGGTTATTGAAAACATTGCATCGAGTCGTTCACGTCCATAATTCAGCATGAACCATATTTTATGAAGTCTTATACAAATGTTTTAACTTTGTTTTAAGACTTAACTTTTGAGTTCAGTAAAGAGTAAAGTTGAAGTTCATTTCTTCAAAAGTATATGGGGACTATGTATTCCCAAAAGAGTTTAAAATATTTTCACATTTAAATAAGAACGGAAAACTGAGATTTTCAAAAAAGCCTTTGAGCTAGTGTTTCAGTAAAGAGCCTTTGAGCTAGTTTTTCAGTAAAGAGCCTTTGGGCTAGTTTTTAGTTAAAGAGTAAATGCTTTCACAATAAAGCAAGAGAGGAAACCTTGATTTCCAAGATAGCCTTTGAGCTAAGTTTTTGAGCAATTATCTTAAATCACAGAAAGAAGTATGGTTTAAACATAAAGAGCTAGTATCATATTTTGGGAGTAGTATTGTGCACTGATATGGGGACGAGCTTGAGTTTAGATAACTCATGTCTCCATAAACCATGTTGCCATCATTGGTAGAAAATGGCATACTTTTTAGATGAATCCTTTTTGCATAGACTAGTGGATCCACTTAGTAGTTCAGGTCTTATACCTGTGGCAAGGTATAGGATGCGCTGGCAGCATGAGGAAGATCGTTGTATCATCACAATAGCTCTTATGTGATGGTTGTCGGTTAGAGAAACTCCCACAATAGTACTTTGTATTTTTATATACATCAGTTTATTTGTATTTTTACATACATCTCAGAGTTATTTGTATCTTTGCATACACACAGAGTTGACATTATGTTTCAAAACAGCTTTTCTTTAGATTGCACTTGTTTTAAACTGCTTTATATTGAAATGAGTTTGGTTATGTTGAGTTGAGTTGAGCCATGTAAGTTTTTCAGTTCCTTTCAGATTCTTTTCAAGCTTATGTTTATTCTTTAGAATTCCTCTTACACGCTCGTACATTCCACGTAATGAGCCATTTGGCCTGCATCTTCTCATGATGCAGACACGGTATTCAGGATCATCAATAGAAGATTCGTTGATACATCCGGGAGTTCGAGTTAGCTATGGTGAGCCTCCTTGTTTCTGGAGGATTTCATTTACTTTTCATTTTAGTCAGGATGTCGTGGGTCTTGTCCCGACTTCCATCTTTATCAGTTAGAGGCTTCATAGAGAGTTAATATAGTTGAGAAGTTTGTATTATTCATTTATTTTATTAAATGTTTTA